CACCAAGCACAGTTAATGCAGAGCTGTGCATTACAGATGGATGCCACCAAGCACAGTTAATGCATAGCTGCGCATTATGGATGGATGCCACCAAGCACAGTTAATGCAGGGCTGTGATTGAACCCAGGGTTTTATGCATGCCAAACAAACACTCTACAGAGCTGCATCCCCAGCTCCCAATCCAGCCCTTGCACTTTTTCTGAATATATGGTGAAGAGTTACAATATGAGTTCACATCATTTGTATTAATTTACTTCTTAAATTGAAGCATATACATTTGTCTTAGAGATTTTCAAAGTATAGTTTAATATTCCAACGGTTTCTCATTTAATAGTTCAACAGTTTATTAAAAATAAAACATTTGGGGCTGGAGAGATGGCTCAGAGGTTAAGAGCACTGCTTGCTCTTCCAAAGGTCCTGAGTTCAATTCCCAGCAACCACATGGTGGCTCACAACCATCTGTAATGAGATCTGGTGCCCTCTTCTGGCCTGTGGGGATACGTACAGACAGAACAATGTATACATAATAAATAAATCTTTTAAAAAAATAATAAAACATTTGGCTGGATGTGGTTTGAAGGCTTGTAATCCCAGCACTTGGGATGTAGAGGAGGAACTAGAGTTCAAAGCTGAGCTAGTGAGAAGTTCCACAGGAAAAGACACCTGCCACCAAGCCAGACTACCTGAGTTCTGTGTGGGATCCCGTGTAGTGGAACAGCTCTCCCAAGCTGTCTTCTGATGCCACATACACCATGGGACAAGTAATTCTCCACATATACCGTGGCAGATGCCTGCCTGTAAGTCCATGCCATAAATAATTTAAAAAAGGGGTTTAAGGCAACGTTGCTTTGGCGCCGGTACAGGCTGTAAGAGACCCTGTTTGAAAAGTCAAATAAAACATTTGTCCAGTATCATGCAGCTGGTACCTAGGGGGCTTTAGGCATGTCATGCTTGGTCCTTGTCATCGGTGTGCTGTCTCTTTGAAGGAAATGGGAGAGAGAAACAAGGCATGTACAATAACAAAGGGAAAAGAGAGTAGGTGTATGCTTCATTCAGATGTGGGGGAATGTCACTGTTAGCTAGGAGAATTAGGGCTTGAAAAGAGTTAAACATCCTGAAGGGTACAGAACAGGGGATCATGGAGGGGATCATAGAGCTGAGAACACATGGTAGGCTCATCTGAAGCCAGACTAGTCCAGCAGCAGGGAACTCGGATGCAGTTAATACACATGAAGTATTTACGTGTCGGACATGAACACTGAAGACACAAAAATGCGAGGCACAAAGCTCTACCTCTTGGCTCGCTCTCTTCAGAGTCAAGAGTGGGTGGACACACCTATTATCTCAGCACTTAGGAGTCTGAGGCATGATGATCCCAAGTTCAAAGCTTGCTCTGTAGACCAAGCTAGCCTCCAACTCAGAGATCTGCCTGCCCTCGCCTCCCAACAGCTGGGATTAAAGGCGTGCACCACCACTCGACAGGCCTGGACTTCTTAAAAAGAGAAAGGCCTTCAATTTAATAAATGACCAATTCGGGAAAGGAGAGCTGGGTGACGAGCTTTTAACTGGCGTGTCAGAGTCAGTTTTATTCACGGCAGTGTGGAACTATGTAAGCTTTTGGTGACATGGTAGGTGACGCGAGTGCATGTAGCAATGTACAGAAATGATATAAAGAGGGAAGCTTTGGGGTGTGGCTTACCTTTAAAAGACAAAAATAGGATAGAACTCTCCATCAAGAGGGGTTTGGTGGTAGGTGATCCAGGACTAGCACGGTGGGTCTCGACTTACCAAAGACTTAGATCCATCTTTGTGCTTCACCATCTGGACCCTGCTTTCCATCGTCATGATCCAGTGTGATGATGGCTACAGCCTAACTCATCCTGTGTACTTTCTAGGCACAGAGAGGAGGGCGGGAGGCCAATCGGGGAGAGGAGTAGAGCCTGAACTGACCTGGTTCCTAGCATTGGTGCCTTTAGAGGAGTCTAAAACTGCTTTTCAGAGTTACATCTTGTTAACCACTACTGTGTCCAGTTTCCAAGAGAGACTTTGAAGTGTAGTTTTGTATTTGCCCAAATATCTATTCATATAGTGAGATACACAGAACTTTTTCTCAGTGCTGGGGATTAAAGTCCAGACAAGCATTCTATGGCTGAGCTATATCCTAGCCACATGCACAGATGTTAGGCATATATTGGGGAGGTTTTTAAAATGCATATATCCATGTAATCCCATATCCTCAATTATAGAGCATTCCCTCAACCCCAGAAATTCCTGCTGTCTGTCGTTTTGATTAATTTCTGAGAAAGGGTTTTATGTGAACTGGGATTATAGGTGTGCATCACCATACCCCACTGTCCAGTGAGGGTTCTGGTTTTTTATTGTTTAAGACAGTTTGACTATGTAGTCCTAGGTGATCTGAAATACAGAAATTTTGTCTGCCTCTGTTTCCTGAGTGTTGGGACTAAAGGTGTGCACCACCACACCTGGCTGGCCGTGAGTTATTTTTTTAAAAAATTTATTTGTACTTATGTGTATGTATGTATGTATATCTGTATGCCACATATTTGGGTACCTGTGGAGGCCAGATGAGGGTGTTGGGGGCCCTGCAGTTACAGGCATTTTTGAGCCATCTGATGTAGGTTCAGGGAATTGAACTCTGGTCCTCTGGGAGAACAGCAAGTGCTCTGAAGCACTAGTGTCTAGCCCCTGACAATGAGTTGGTTTGTTTTTGTTGTTGTTTTTAAATCCTAGGTTAGGGACATCAGCTCAGTGGTGCGTGTCTGGACTGGATCCTCAGTACCACAAAACAGAGAAAATGAGAACTTAATTAGAGTGGTTGTTTCTAGAAATGGAGGCAGTGGGGAGGCTGGGAAGAAGAACCCAGAGAAGGCTGGTTAGACATTCGAGATCAAAGAAGTCTCGGTGTGATAGAGGAGAGCCACCAGAAAGGTCAGAGCAGGAAGGGCAGGGTGTTTCAAATGAGAGCAAGTTTGTGTTGGGTGTGTGTAAGCCGAGGTGCTGGCCAGACAGGTGGAGTTGTGTCTAAGAATAATATCCGTGCTAAAGAGGACCATGAACCAGGGCTGGAGAGATGGCTCAGTGGTTGGAAGAACTGGCTGCTCCTCCAGAGGACCTGGGTTCAAGTCCCAGCACCCACATGGCAGCTCACAACTGTCTGTAACTCCTGTTCCAGGGGGTCTGACACCCTCACACAGACATACATGCAGGCAGAACACCAATGTACATAAAATACAAATAAATAAATTATAAAAAAGTGACCATGAACCAAGAAACTGCCTAAGAGTATATGGTATGGAACGGCCCCATGACAGCCTTTGAGTGACCAGGAACTGGGATCTAGGGACCACAGCATAGGTTTTCAGAAAGGGTTCAAGTCATGAAAAGGGAAACTGGTAAGACCACCTAAAATCACTTGAAACCCTTCTAAACACGGAAGTCCTTGCACAAACACAAGACCATTGTACATTCTGCTGTTGTGAAAAGGGTGTTGAGGGAAACCAGGAAAGAAAAGGTCAGTGACTGATCCCTTTTACGGGAAGAAACCCTGGGGCGGAGGGGTGGGGGTGGGCAGAGCAGCCGCCAACCTTTCTAGTCGTAACCGAGGGAAGAGCGATCAGGAGAGGTGAAGAGTTGGCTGTCTTGGACACCTGCCTCTGCCAGCTTAGTGGGAGGGAACATGTCTTAGAAGAAAGAACAGAGCCCAGCAGTGGTGGTGCACACCTTTAATCCCAGCACACGGGAGGCAGAGGCAGGCGGATCTCTGTGAGTTCGAGGCCAGCCTGGGCTACAGAGTGAATTC